TACTATTTTGATACAAATTTGAAATGTCAAGCCAAACTCAACAAAAAGAATTATTACCTATTAAATAAACTGATAAATAAAGCAATGTTTTGAACTTAAAGATGTAAAGCCCTAAAAAAATTCCCTTGATGCAGCATTTGATGCGGCTTCTTTAGATATGCCACCTGATGTGTTGTATGTCTAGTGATGTAAGTTAAATTCTCTACTTAAGTACACAGCAAGATATGAAGCTTCAATATAAAATGTTCGTTGGGTAGTTTTTTTTTAGCATATTCTTGACATTTGCTGTGTTAATATGGAAGTTGCATGGATTTGCCTTGCCTCAATCTTCAGCCGGGCAACTTAGAGGTTGGGTAACAACAGGAAAATCAATTAGTGAGTCAGAGGCGGCGGGCTGCAGAAATACATTTGCCATAAATTTGATAAGACCTTAAATTCAATTGATATAAAAATCCTTTTCAGCATGTTTTTAGTCAATTTAGATATGAAGAGTAAAGATGAAATAGCAGGTCAAGCAGCAGCAGCAGCAGCAGCAGCAGCAGCAGCAGCAGTGGCAGCATTGTAAAGACAAGCAAATTCGAGATGTTCACAGAATCGAGTTGCCCATTCATATGCCCCTGCTTTGAACTCACCTATGGTGCGCAGTGAATGGGCATTGATTTTGTTATTTATGCATTTTGTTTAATGGATTTCTTTGAATTTCCATGTACTTCAATGCATGTACGCAGCCCGCTCTCCTTGCCCACTCAACCCACATGCTCGATACGGTTTCCTTTTCGGATTCGGTTTCGGTTTCGGTTTCGTTCTCGGTTTCGGCTTCGGCAGAAGATTTACGAGCATGTGCAGTCAGCTCGACGCAGCAAGCAGCCAACACACAGATACAATGGACCGGCGGGCGGCCAGTCTCAATTTGTATCTGTATCTACGGCCAGCAGAGTGTGTGGGTGGGGCAGAGGTCACACGTTTAAGCGTCAGCATATTTAATTTAATCGCTGTTCCGCCAGAGACTTGGAGAGTTGTCACCCCAAAAATAAAAATGTAGTTTTATGTTGGCCTGACCCGTGGGTGTCTTGTGGTCGAAAAAGGAATTAGATTCAGTTCGATTTGCAGCTGCTGGCCACGCCCAATTATATGGGCGAATGTTGTTATTGTTTGTTCTATCATTGAATTGCTTTTGGTACAAATATTATGATTGCTGGAACGAGTTTGGGCCCATTAGCCATGGGGCCATGGGTCAAGCGAAACATTTGGCGCAGCTTATATTGTTTACGTTCTGGCTAAATCATTTAGTTATTGTAATGGATGTGGACTCAATTTCAAGTCAGTTATTTGTGCTTTTGACAGCCAGTTGCAAGTGGCAGTGGCAGTGGCCGTGGCAGTGGCAGTGGCAGTGGCCGTGACAGCGTCTCACAAGTGATTGAATAGCTCCATAGCTGCAGACCCAGCAAATTGGCTACGTGTCGCATTTGCCACACTCCACACTCCACATACCACCATATCTACTGGCCTCTTGTTGGGCCTGTTGGCCCGTTGGCCCGTTGGCTTTGTTTTTAGCTTTTAGAAACGCCAATTGATTAGTTTCTCACTCGCATTTGATTGATGACACCTTTCCGCCAAACACGTGCCAAGCACAAGCAATTATTCCAACTCGCTCGCTCTTCTTCTCTCTCTTTCTTTCTCCTTCTATCCTTCCCTCTCTCTCTCTCTCTCTTTAGACATATGTAGCTACTGAGTAGCACTCGTATGAATCGCACACAAATATATCCTTAACCCTCAGTCGAAAGCTTTCAATGCCATTACTTTACGCGCAATCTCGTCAATCGTTCAAGCTTTCAGCTCAAATTACATTAAACCATTCACTCAGACACCTGTGACACAATTTCTGAATGCATCCGAACTCCAAAGAGCATCAGATTGAGTAACTTCTGCTGCCTTTTGAATAACAGCTTTGATTTATGGTCTACGCACAGCTAAATAATTGAACGCCGATTAGTTTAATACTTTTAAGTATTTATTAAGAATTCAATTTGTAAATCAAAATAAATATAAAATGAATTAAGAAGGAAATAAAAATAAAATAAAAATAAATATAAAATAAAAATAAGAATAATAATTAAATATAAGAAAATAAATAAATAAATACATAAATTAAAATGAAAGCGAAATAAAAACAAAAAATATAAATTAAAATAAAATAGAATTCAATTAAAAATAAAATAAAAATGAAATTAAATTAAAATGAAAATAAAAAAGGATAAATTAAAAATACCTGGAAATAAAATTAAATTAAGACTAGAATAAAATAAAAATGCAATATATAAATAAAATATACAATACATAAATAAAAATTAAAATAAAATAAAAATTATATTAAACAAACATAGAAAAAATTAAATACAATATACAAATAAAATAAAAAAATAAAATAAAAAAAAATAATGTACATGTTTAACTAACTAACTGGAATATCAAACAAACATTTTGCTAAGTCCAATATTGCTAATTAAAATGTGTTATTCATAAGCTGTGCTCCTAAGTAACGCTTTGTATAATCCTTGAATTCCAGGCGTAATTAAAAATAATTATTATGCCTCTAGGTTCAAACGAACATGGTCAGACGAAGCTGTTTTAATCCCTGAAATGAACTTAATTATATAGAAAATTTCATGCACTAATGTTTAGCTATGATTTTGACTATATAACAATCTCGGCTAATCAGCTCAATACGAATTTTATTATTCGAACTTCCATTTTGAATATAAATCTCTTTTCAGCCATATTTTGAATAGTAACAGCAATGAAATGAGATAAATAAAACGCAAAAGTCCTGATTACTATTGCATCGTTTATCTATTTCGAATTTTCAACAGTTTTGGTTCCCTTGCCGCGGCGGAGATTGCGCATACGCCACGTGTCACACGTCAAACAGCTTTTTACAAGACAATCCTCAACAAAGCTGGCCATTAAATTTGTCGCTGAATGGTATCAGCGAACAGTTTCTGCTACCAGTTTTGCCCATTTATTTGCTATTTTTTGTTGTTTTTTTTTGTCTGTGTTACCAATTTGCCATAGCTTAGAGCCAGCGCCGCTAAGTCTTTGCTGCAGGACTTATCTCGTATAAGCATCGGCGTCCAGGGCATCGTGTGGGCTGCCAGCTGCAGCTTTGGTAATTATTTGTGGCACATTCGATTGTTGCGTGGCCAAACTAAGCCTCACACATGTGCTGGTTGATCAACGAATAACTTTAAGATATTTATGTTGAAATAAACTTTTGATTTGGGAAAACATCTGTAAAGCAATTTTGACTTTTTATTACAAGATCATGTGACGTTGGCAGCTCGAGGGTTTTCTAGTGTGTGTGTACGCGAGTCTTGTACTTAATTCAGTAGAAGTGATCAATTTGCAATATCTTATGCACCAGTTTGTTAAAGGCAGAAATTTCCATTTTCAGCATAGAAATATCAAATATTGTTTTAGCTGCTTAATTCTGAGCTGGAATTTGATGGTCTGTGAGTCGAATGTGAAGTGTCACAGAGATTAGCTTCAGTCGTGGCCATTTGCATTCGTATTGCGTCTAAATTAAAGCCCCTCGCCGACGCGTCGGCACTGGATGGGGGCCAGCTGTTAATCCGGCAGTCAAATTATATTCAATTGAAGAAGCCATTGGCTTTGGCATACATCGATTGGCGTAGTGATTGGGTTTGGGCTTGGATTACTCATTTACTGCTGTGGCAACATCAAACGGATTTTCGCACTATCATCAGCAGTGTCACCAGCAAACACATTCACATCTACACCAGATGAGCAGCTTTCATTTATCCTCACCCGGACTCCGGCCTGGCAGCTCAAGTGTGCCCTTTCCGATGACTGCGGCAGATGAGTGTATGTGAAGTGACAGCTCTCTGGGTGGGGGGACACATGTGCTCGCCCTTCATCGTCTGCTGTTACTATAATGTTTGGCTATTTTGCTGACTTCTGCTGGTTGCGTGCCTGCTTCATCAATGGATATGTTAGAGTTGTTCATATTATTTGGTTATTCAAATAAATTTGCTGCTGCGCCATTTGTGTATATACCCAACCACCCACGCATACGCACGCACCCTGGTCTGATGAGAATGTGCGCACATAAAAGATAATGAAAGTGTTGGCCTGCCCCATGGGAACTTGGTGGAGCAATGCGCGCCTGCAAGTATGCAATGAAATTTTGTTGCCTGGACAGGTAGCAATCGTGTCCGGGTATCAGTGTGTGTGCGCTTGGGTGGGTGTGTGTGTGTGTGTGTGTGTGTGTTTCAAGAGCACTCTAATACATGAAATGGCTTTTACTTGCAACTGGAATCTAATCAGCGTATACCAACTCACCCTCTAGCCTCTAAACATAGAGGGAGTATAAACTATATTCTAATTACTCTGTCGAAGTATATATATACATTTGTATTTCGACAGATTAATAAAAATAAAAAAAATCAAACATTTATTTATGCAAAATATATATTTTATATATATATAATAGTTATTAAAATAGTATTGTTCATAAAAATAGTAGCACTGCGAGCATTGAACCCTAAATTGTTGGACAGCAAAACTTAATGTTTAATTTAATGTTAGACAATATTTTGAAAGCAATTTGAAACAAATACTAAAATAAACATTTAATTACTTTAGTTGTTTTCAATTAATTATATTTTGATTTTTTAAATTTACATTCAGCACTAATATTTCTATGAACATCCTCTTAAATCGTAAAAACAAATTAATGCTGACCAAAAGTAGCGGGCTTTTCTCTTTACACTCTGTTCTAAGCGAAAAGTGGGCATTTTCTTATCTGCCTTCGGAAAAGTAAGTTCATTTTGCTTATGTCCTGTGTAGTGCAGAACTACTATTTATGTGAACACTTCTTTATATATTTGCAGCAGATATATTTGAAGGTATACGTAGTTAGTTGTAGCAAGTATTTGCTTAAAAGGAAAAGTGCAAGCATTTGGCATACGAGCTGCAGTCAATTTTATTCTTTTAAAATCTAATACATTGAAGTCTCTTAACTATAATATCTGGAATATGCAAAATTTCAACTGTCTATCAAGAAAAAAAAAGTGAATCAAAATCTAAACAAGTTCTTCTAGCCTTATCTGTCAATTAGTGACGCCAGATCGGAGTCTTTTTGCTACGTTCGATAATGTCGTTTAGCTGCTGAGCGAACTTTCGTCGCTCGTTGGTCGGCAGCTGAGTCAATTGCTTGACTCTGTTGTTTGGGTTGGCAGCCAAGCGGTTACGCTTGGTCGCCACCGTTTGTGTATACTGACTGACCAATGAAGTATGCTTCAGAGAAGTGGAGTCAGTCGATGCTTCCTTGAAGCTCTTTTTCGGATTACTGCTAAATGAAAGTGACCTTCTGAGGCTTAGCTGCGAAAACTCTGGCGAACTCTTCATGTCGCTCCATGTACTATCGGAAGGCTCGCGAATCTGCTCTATGTCCATGGTTGAAAGCAAATTGTCCATGCTCAATTCGTAGAGCCGTTGATCTCGTTCCTGTTCCAATATTCTATCTGCCTGCATCCTCTGGAAAATCATTCGCCATCAACAATAGAACTCGGCCATTGTTCAGATAACACTTACACGTTCCTTACGCTTGTGCAGCTGTGCGGCAACGGCTATCGACATCGCCAACGATGTGAGCGAGAGCCATAGAAACAAATGACGGTCCATGCCCAAAACCCGCACCACCGAAATACATTTCAGTACGGACCAGCACAAGGTCGGCCACTGGCAGCAGGAGGGTGTCATCATCATGTTCGCCTCGGCGTTACCTACTGCTTGGTGGGTCCACATTCTTCAAATTTTCGAATGTATCAAATTTTAAAGGTCTTTCTCAGGACGTAACGTAATAAAAAAAAAAAAATCTACGTCCTATTTGTGAGAAAATTAAACAAGTCCGAAACCGTTCCCTGCGCAATTTTTATTGACTAACTCAATCTGTATTCACCCAAAATGTAACCTCAATTTCCAAGGCCTGCTGAAAGTGTATGAAATTAAGGTATTGGAACGTTGTCTACAGTGTGAATAGGATAGACTAGGCTGTCTAGACTACAGACTACTCTCGTGGCACCTCCTTGTCCATACCAAAGTCTCAATACTATTTTTGGTATAACAAATATTGTATTCCTGCTATTGAGCGTCAATGAAAATATTAAGAATGCCATGAGCCGATCTTTGCGGTCGAGGCGAATCGAAGAAAACGATGCTGTCTACTCTCTAGCTTGTGGCCAGGATCGGCTAGCTTTGCAGGCAATTAGCCCATTGTTGACAGCTTCTGTAGACAGTGCAGTGTGCATTGATGGGAATATGAACTGCATGCAGGGTTCAGCTAGGTATCTGCTAGCCGGACACTCTCAGTTTTGCTTTGCTCTAATTTATAGAGATATTCATTCAACAATTTAGTCGTCGCTCGCTTTTATGGCGCTCTTTTAGCAGTCACAAGTGTTTCGTGGCTATAACTATGCCAAAGCTATAATCGCCTTCGGCTGGGTGCCGTCATTCACTTTCTCAGTCGCCCACTCATTTTGCGTATCTGTCGCCGGCTTGGCAGTACTGCAATACACTTGGCTGGCAGACAAACTCAAATATTTTGCTAAATAAATTGAATGCAGCTTGGAAAATATGCTCGCCGCTGCTAGCCGCAGTGCTGGGCGAGGCGGCGGGGCTGATATAAATAGCGCGACAACCATGAGAAATGGCAAAAACTTTCATTTGAGCAAACAAAGCTGCAATTCTAATAAAGTCATGGCACGCCATGCAGCGAACGAAATTTGGCTGTCGTCTGGCTAACTGTGAATATGCATATACATACGATGAGTGTGTGGGTATATGCATGTGTGTGTGTATGTGTGTGCCCATATTTGGAATTGCTCTTATCCAGCTCGTGCTGCTGGACCCAGCTTTTTTATTGTCCTGCGCCATACGTGCGCTCATATTTCACAGCTGCCACAGATTCGCCATTTCATTCCCATAACAAGACACCGAAAGAGGCACCATAACGTGACTCCAAGTGGCGCCCACTACGCGCCGCTGCCTTACGTCCGGCTACGACACACAATTTTCTATTAGGCCGTCCCGTCTCCCCTCGACCCTCGCGCCCAATTGGGCCACACACAAGTTTCCGCCATTTTATGCGGCACATAAATAGTTTGGCTTACCACACATGCATTTCGCAGTAGCCGCTGGTGGTCAATTCCACCACAGGCTGCCACACCCCCTACAGCCCATTCGCACGGAGGCCATAAGTGCGAACTCATTTGCATCTGGCAAATAGCACATTGCGGTTGCACTTACAACTTCCTAATGATGTGCGCCAGCATTGCTATGCAATCACACACACACACTCACACAAGCACACACACACGCACACACGACCACGCACACAAATTGAAGGAGGACTTACCTAGAGGCTTTGGCAATCGACTTACCCAAAGTATGCAACTTAGGTAAAAATCTAATCAAGCCAAATAATATTTGATTGGCTTTTGGTAGAATTTGATTATCTTAAGTGAAATTTATGGGAGTTTTGTTGGGATCGTCACTCCAGCGACACTTGGGCAGTAGGACGCGAGCATACATAAGACGCAAGCCGCAAGCTTTATTGATCGACTACACAGTAATTGATAGATAATTGGCCAATACTTTGTATTTCTAAGGAAATGCACCGAGTGGAACCCTTTCTCTACTATTAGCAATTCGAAAGATTCCTTGGATAAGCATTTGCTTATTTCCTAGGAAGTTCTCTAGAGCTAATTGACTGGAAACGTGTTTCCATAGAATATATACGAAAAAGGCAAAGATTAAAATAAGAACTTAAAACGCTCAGCCTTGAAAATTTCGAGCTAAATATAAGAGATGTAATGAAAATAAGACATTTATCATTATCAATGTTATTGCTTAATTATGGAAGCAATTGGCCAATTCGTATAAAGAATGAGACGAGGCGGTCCGCGTGGCGTATACGTTATATTTGTTGTGTGCTCTTTGCGCAGTTCGTAGAGCCACAGTTTTAATTTGCTTTTTACATTATCCAATGCCAATGCCCAATGCAGGATGCATGCCACATACATATGCATGTATATATGTATGTGTGCGGTGCAGTACAGTTATTGTTATTGCTTTACTGTTCGATTGGCTGTCGTCTCATTAATCATTTAGTTATTCCAACCTTATCATCAATAAGCATTAGAAAACTATTAAATCCAAAATACTGCACGGTTGGTCCATTTGGCCAAAGCCAATCAAATGCTAATAGCTGTTCAATTATGTAGCCAAAAGCATTTTTAATGTAAATCGAAATACTTTGCGAGAAAATTATAAACTAGGTCAGTTGGCTCTTAAATGTTGAGCAAATACCTTAATAATATTTTGAAACTAACCAACTAATGCTTTTGCATTCTTTCAGTTCTTGTTGAAAGCTGTGCACCGTTGAGATTTAAGGTAAGTTCAGCGAACGCTTTTGTTACTTAATGACTTTATTATCTTAAACAAAAAAATTCTTGATTATGGTATGCTTGTGTACGTGTTGTGAGCTAATACAAATTACACATATATCTTACCAATTTAAGTTATATAGAAGAGCTTGCTTCAAACAACTTTCATTTCAATCGATGTTATCTGCTCTGATGAGTCGAATAGCAACTTAGACGAAAGCATCGTTTTCCGTCAAAATTTAATCATTTTTTTGTAAGTTTAATTTAAGAGTGTGCGTAGGTTGACTCCATATATTTATACATTATATATATCCAGATTGATTTTTAACATATTCGTATATTATTAATTTAACTACTTTTTCTTATGTTATAATTATATAGTATAATTATATAGTATATTTATTTATAGTATACATATTTAATAACTTTATAGGTAATTTAAGGGATGAAATCAAAACAAAACTGACTTGAATGACTAAAAGAGCAAAGAAAACACCGCAATTAATTCATAGATAACGTTTTCCAATTTTCTGCAAAATAGGAAACCGAAATTAAAGATCCTGTTTAAGAGAAAAATGAACAGTCTGAAAAACATTTTGCTTTCCTTTCGGAAGGCACAAAATATTCGTATATTAGTTTAGCATGTGAATCAAATTTTAAGACATATTACTTACAATTAATAGTGCCTCAGATCTTGGTTATCAAGCACTTTCCACCTATTGCCACTCACCACGATCTCTGCTAAAATCGTATCAAATTAAACTAACTTAGTTAATCAATGTATGAATTCAATTGACACGCGGATAAATGAAGGATTACTGGAAATATAAATTTGAAGTAATTTAGTTGGATTCTCAGTTAGTGTAATATTTGTGTTGCTGTATATAGAAATATAAAGCCTACTTAGCCATATGAAATAAGTGGAACTAGGTTTACTTTGCCCAAAGGCAATGAAAATGATTCTTAACTTTTTGCTTAGAAGAGAATTCTGTGGATTGCCTTAATGGTCGGCTTAGTGGTGTCTGCAGAATGTGTCTTAGGTAGATCGATGGCCCATAGACATTTATTTTAATAACTGTTGAGTCTAGGACATGGTTGACCTATATATTGTGGGCCAACGCAATGGTGAGGCGCGCAGAGTCATATTAATTAAATCGCTGCCGTGTGTTGACTGTTAGCGCTCAGTGTGCTCAAGCGAATTGAGCGATTGTCAGGTCACAGTCAATGCGACGGCTTTAACGCAAAATGTCAATCAAAGAGCGCTGCACCACATGCATCACCGCATGAGCCACACACACTCATGCAGGTACCAGCCATGGGCAGCCATGTGGGAGTCAGCTGTCAGTCGTAGCAGCTCCGGCCCAATCGCCTGTGGCCCTCCGCCTCGGCATATAGCAATTTTCACTGCCACTTCAGCTCATTTAACGCCAACAAAGGCGGCGCTGGCTTCTCTGATTGACAGAGCATAGAGGGCAAAGCAAGCCGGTGACAGGTGACGCTGGCGACGCAGGGGCGGAGGAGGAGGAGGTGGGTAGCCTGTGGGTTGACTACACGCAGAGCCGAAGGCATTTTATATAGCCCGCTAAAAAGAGTAAAACAAAACTTTCAACATGAAATGACATGCCGATTAAATTAATGCAGTGCCTGATGCTTCAACAGAAGCCATGTCGTCGGGCTGGTAGGGGCGATTAAGAAGTTTTTGTTGCTGTCGTTAGCAGCATTGGCATCGTAAAAACTTTAAGATCGAATCGTTTGTGAGCCGGCAGGCTCGTAAGTAACGCAAAATCTGTTGGGTCCATCGACACCTGCGACCGAAAGGCCAAGCGACCGAACAGAGCACCAGAACCTGGCTGTGGCTGGGCCTGAAATGGCATCAACTGTCGGCATCATGTGCACGTAATCATAATAAATGACATTGGACGCTCCCGTAAGCGGATACTTTTATTTAATTATGCATCCCTGGCATTGAACCTTTGCAGCCCACGCAGACCCACCGAAGCCAGCGTCAGCGCCAGCGACCCACACACGCCGACAAGCTTCAAAATCAAACTCAAATTCATGTTGGGGTCAAGGTGAGCTTATCGCCCAAGCACTTCATTTGAATGGACAGCATGCAGGCCTATTTCTCAGACATTAATATACTTTAAGACTCCAATACGCCAGACGTATCTAAGAATTGGTCCTTTCTATACCGCGCCACGCTACACGATGTGCTATGAGCTGTAAGCCAATATTTTTAATGAGATGTTTGTTTGGTATTTCTAAACGTAAGCATACATATAAAGATTTCCCTTGCATCATATTCTCTTGAAAATAAGTCGAAAATTCAAGAAGTAGAAACAGTCAAGTGAATATACTCAGCACACTTATCAGAATTCGCTTAATTTAATTTCCAACTCAATAGCTACTCACCTTACCTCACCTCACCTCACATAACTTCACCTCACCTCACATAACTTCACCTCACCTCACATAACTTCACCTCACCTCACATAACTTCGCCTTACCTC